CATGCCCCGACACTGGACATCAATTCAGGGTTCTTAGAGAAAATCTGGTCTAATCTAAAAGCACTGTTTGACCCATCTTGGATTGTCACTTACCTACTCCTGACAAGCATAATTATTCTTCTCTTTCTACTTCTTAAATGCATTGTTCTTCATTCCCACAGTCAGAAAAAATTCAATCATTCGGTATGTCAGGCCCTCAGAGCAATACATGAAAATGATTTCAACCCTCCCTATGCAGCCCGATAGGCTTGGCTTGCCCAAATGTACGAGGCCTCTTACAGATAATTCCCCACCTCGACTGATCCCCCGGGATGATACCCCTTGGAGGGCTGGTAGCCAATGATGGGTAAGATCCTGTTGGGCTGGATCAACCTAAGCCAGGACATGGACGTGTATGCCCATGCTCCAATGACGGGTAAGGTTCATGCCCAAATAGGACAACCTAAGACAGGCACAGTCCATGATCCTGGGGTCATCCCGAGGCGGAGCTGCCTACAGGCTCTCACTGGACAGTCATTTTTAAAGAAAATGGGTGGAAATGTGGCAGGAGGCCTCCAAAGATAGCGCGGACCCAGAGCCCTGGGATTCAGCAAGAATTCACTTCACTTCTTGGTCCGCAAATAGCCCTCCAAAAAGAGCCCAGGCCTCCGTACCCTGCTTGCGAGACCGGTGACTGCTGATGGACTGTGTGGCGTGGACCAATCAGAATATGATACGCTAAAGGGACTTGGGGGTGGAGAAAAGGGAAATATAAGGTGTGCCTCCTCCTGCACTAAACGAGTCTGCAGCACCTCGCCTAGTGCTTGCTTCTACCCAACTCCTGGGGTCTATGTGTCATGACCCCCCGTGCCTCTTACCCCCTAATTGGCAGGGGACCTGATCCAGGTTAGGGTCTTCACAGCCAGCCTGAGGAGAACCCGCAACACCTACCCAATATTTACATTAGTTTTTGGGACCCGAACTCCTGTCGTCACACTTGGTGGGCAATAACTGAGCCATCTACCCAGCCCCTTGTTGAAGGACTTTTGAAGTAGGGAGGTTATTCTAGGTTGTCCAAGTGGCCCACAGTAGTCACAAGCACACTTTCAGAAAGACATAGAAGAATTAAGGCATCAGTGTCAAGACCAAGAAAAAGATGGATGAACACACTGATTTTTAAATTGAGACAGGATTTTGCCGTGTTCCTTGGGCTGTCTTCAAATCCCTAGACTAGATGGATCCTCCTGTGTCAGCCTCCCAATAGCTGGGACTGCAAGTGCTGCTCACAGTGCTAGATGTGGAAGCCAAGCACATAGATTCATGACCACTAGAACTTAAAAGACAAGGAAATAAATTGTGCCCTCAGAACCTCAAAAGAACCAGACCTGTTTGCACCTTGCCTTCAGCCCATTTAAAGTGATTTCACACTTCTGATTTACCCCTGTAGGAGAACAAACCTGTCTGAAGCTGATAAATGGTGAGGTAATATGCTACAGCTGCAATCGGAAACAATTCAACCTGTCTACATGACTGCCAGTGATGGTGAGGCTGTCCTGTAGCCAGGCACCATCTCCCTCCCTTAGTTTTGACTTGAGCTTTACATGATAGTTCTGAACTTTGTATTTACATCATGCTTTATGTGTGGGGTTGAGACTTCATCATTCTCCTAAGTAGACTTTCAAATTCATATAAGATGCAGTCATCTAAAAGTCTGAACAGAATTATGGAAGAGCATGGGCGCTAGCTAGTAGGGACGTGGATGAGGAGTCCTAATTAGGGGGGCAGCAGAGCAGCTAGGTAGGTGTAGCTGGAAAGAGAAAGCTATGGAGAAGGAGCAAGAATGGAAAGAATGTGAACAGGGAGCACTCCAGGAAACCAGGTCTTGGTTTTTTATTTTAGTGTGTGTGTGTGTGTGTGTGTGTGTGTGTGTGTGTGTGTGTACATTTTCATGGGTGTTGTGCAAATGTGTGGAGGCAAGAGGTTGATATCAGGTATCTTCCTCAATTATTCCCCACCTTATTTATTTTTATTTTATGTGTGTGCATGTATTGCCTGCATGTAGGTAAGTGCCCCCATGTCATGCAGTGTCGGGGGAGGACAGAAGAGGCTGTCGGATCCCCCTGGAACTGGAGTTACAGACAGTTGTTAGCTGCCATGTGGGTACTGGGATTTGAACCCAGGTCTTCTGCAAGAAGCACCAGTGTTCTTAACCGCTGAGCCACCTCTCCAGGCCCTATTTATTAATTTTTGAGACAGGGACTCCCATTGAACCTAGAGCTAACCAATTCAGCAAAACACTGGCCACTAAACCTCAGTAATCTTCCCTTCTTTACCCTCTCCTTTTGATACCCCCCCTCCCCCAGCACTGGGAATACAACTGAGTCACTGTGCCTTGCTTTTTACATGGATGATGGAGATCCAAACTCAGGTCCTACTTCTTGTATGGCAAGCAGTTTACCAGCTGAGCTATCTTCCCAGCTCCCAGGTCTTCGTTTCTAGACACCATTCTCAAGGGAAAGAAGCCAGGTCTCTTAAGAAGTGTGGATTCTAGGGCTTGGGGTAGGAGTCAGAAAACCACCAGAAGTACCTTCTACTAGTGACAGAGAATAGCAACAAGTCACAGGGACATAAGAGCCGCCTTGGAAGACCTTCCATGATTAAAACTGGAACAATTTGTGAGCCTTAGCCTTTAACCGCTGCGCTATCCCTCCAGCCCAAGACTGGAACAATTTGAACACTTAAGTACATGTGACTCTTTATAACAGTAAGCAAAAATATCTATGTACTTACATTGATATAAAAATTACCAAGACAAATCTTACACAGAATTCCAACTAATTTATGCAGATTCCACTCCCTAATTCCACACACCTTTATTGGGTTGTGTGCTTCCAAATAGGTGTGAATGGAAAAGGACCAGGGTGAAACAGGTAGTGATGTACCACACTTCACCTCTGTGGACTGTCTCCCAAAACCCATTACCCTAGTCTAACCATGAGAATAATATCAAATTCCCGCGGAGGAACAGTCCCCCAAACTGCATCAAAAGCTCCACAACATAATGAGTTCGAAGCCAGCCTGGGCTAAGAAAACAAAAAAGGAGCATGTGAGAAATTGTGACAGGCAGGAAGAGATCAGAGGCAGTTCCTGTTTCAGACCTGGAGGGCCAGCAGTGGAGTAAGGCAATCACTCATCAAAGTACCTGTGTGGGGTGCGGCCGCCCCAACCCAGGGCGAGTGCTGTGCGCTGCCCAGATTTCGAACCGCAAGCGCTAGCTGGCCGCGCTCACCCGCAGTACCGCTTACAGTCTCTAGGGAGCGCTCTTCCAATGTCCACCCTCGTCCCGCAGTCTGCGCCTGCGCACAGCCTGGCGGCTCCAGGGACGCGGATGCGCGCCTGCGCATTGGCACAGAGATCATGGCGGCTACGGCGGCCTGGCAGGGCTGGGGAGCTGCGGCCCGAGCAGCCAGGCTGGGCAGGCGGTAGGTGTGGATGCCTGAGCTCCGACAGGGGCTCGCCGCATCACCGTCCTCTCACGGGAGGGGGCTGACATGTTAACTGGGCCTTGTTTGGGCTCCAGAGCCTGTGGCCGGCCCCACCACGCGCGTCCGGGCCTCTTCCAAGCTCCTCTCGGAAGGTGCTCGGAAGGGAAGAATGTTCAGGGACTCGTTTCCTCTCCTTTCCCGGAGGCACGTCCAAGGTCAGGGCTCCGAGGGAAGGGGCTCGGAGGGAGCCCACCGCCCAGCCCCTGCCTCTTCTTGAGCCGGCCCGCGTCCTGCCTCCCTCAGACACCTGTCAGACCCTCGTGTGACTCCTAGAGGAAAGGACCTAGCAGAGGTGTCAGTGTTGTTGGTGCTCCTGAAGTTTCAGATGCATTTCCTGAGCTGGACATGGTGGTCCACACCCCTCATCCTAGCATTGGGATAGCTTGGGTTACATGACACTTAAAAGAAGAACAAAAATTCAAAATGCATCTCAGAAAAAAATAGCAGGTTTACGTAAGAATTTGTTGACTGTCCCCTTCTCCCTTGGTTTTGATGCCCCCCTTAAATAACTGCTCGGGGTTCTTCATTTTAGACTTTAAACAGATCTGTCAGAATGCCCTTCTGATTTATCCACTGTGCTGCTTTTTCCCTGGATTGAAGGAACAGCAGTACTGGTCTGCCAGTGTGTTTCTAAATTCTGGAGGATTCGCTGCATTCATTTAGAGGGTGGTTACTGGTCACTACATACTAAGTACAGCAGCTGGCATTTGTCCAGCACTTACTGTGGTCTGGTATTTCCCTGAATTGTGGGATGTTCTTTAAGGAGAATGATTGATCTATAATAGCCGGCTTTCGGATCCAAATGGGTAAGTTTATTAAATACACAACTAGCAGCAGAGCGGCAGATCAGACATATCATCCAGCAGAAACTGACCCGGAAAGCCTGGGGGAACCAAAACAGTCATCCCAGTCCTCTGACTGATAAAGAGGATCCCAGGCAGTGCTCTTCTCCTGGGTGAGGCTTCTTGTCAGTGGCAGGCATTTTTATATTACGGCCAAACAGGAAGGAGCTGAGTCTTTGACTTTGGGAAGGTGCCTGGGAATGATTTGCTTAACTGTATTTGAGGACACAACATTTGTACTCTAACGATTTACTCCCCGTTAGCAAGGGCATGTTATTTTCACTCTTAGGCTGTTTTATTATTCTCCCTTTTGGCTCATTTCCGGACATGGATTTTTGAAGTCACTTTAAAAAAAAATTTATTTATTTTTTATTTTATTTTACTATTATTTTTTAATTTACAGAAGAGGATGCTGGATCCCCTGGGACTGGAGTTACAGACAGTTGTTAGCTGCCATGTGGGTGCTGGGATTCGAACACAAGGTCTTCTGCAAGAACAACCAGTGTTCTTAATTGCTGAGCCATGTCTCTAGCCCCCTATTTTTTATTTTATGTGCATTCGTGTATTGCCTGCATATAGGTAAGTGCACCCATGTCTTACAATAACCTTGGAGGTCAGAAGAGGCTGTTGATTCCCTGGGACTGGAGTCACGGACAGTTGTTAGCTGCCATGTGGGTGCTGGGATTTGAATCTGGGTCTTCTTCAAGAACAACCAGTGTTCTTAACCACTGAGCCATCTCTCCAGCCCCATTTTTTAAAATTTTTATTTATTTTTTATTTTATGTGTATTCATGTATTGCCTACAGGTAAGTTGAAGGCACTTTTTAAGATAAACTTGCTTGAGTCTGACGGGGTGGGTGACATGACACTTTAGAGCCAGCTTCTCAGTGAGTTTCAACAGCACCTACAACAACATTATTATGTGTCGTTTTAAGAGGTAGCCATGAATATAATTAACCTCAACTTAAAAGTGAGGAATGCCAGCATTTGCATCTCTTCCTTTATGTTTCATGTCAGCAAGTAAAGGTCATGTTAGTGAATAATGGTAAATAAATAGTAAAGTCATGAGTGCTGCCATAGAGTTAAAGCAGTTTAAAATGACAGATCTACCTGGGCATAGTGGCACACATGCAGGTTCAGGACCAACCTGGGCTACATGGCCTTGTTTCAAAGCTATAGTGACGGATCTGGCTTTGATCAAGTGTCTGGATTTAGCATGGGAAGTGGCAGTCAGGGCTTCACAGACTACTTGGCACCCCACTTAAGTTTGTTCCATGGTATCGCTAATGCTTATTTTGTTGTTCTCCTCAGTGTCTCCTCTTTATAGCATCTAAAGAAGCTGATCTCACAGACCTACAGTTCCCTAGTACATTAATCTTTTACTTTTAAATGACATTTAAAATTATTGAAAATAGGAAAAATTTTAAGTAATGTGTATTATTATTTCATTTGCTTGATTGATACTTTTTTTCTTTGTGACAACAGAATTCTGGTTTTGTAAGAGAAAAAACAATATGGTGAAGCTCCTGTTGGTTGCTTCATGCTTATCTTAGGTGAAAAATAACCAGAAAGGTATTTTTAAAATTTTATTTTTAATTATGTGTGTCAGTGTGTTGATATATGCATCTGAGTACAGTGTCTATGGAAGCCAGAAGAGGGTGTAGGAGTCCCCTGGAGCTGGAGTTACAGACTGTTACAGACTGTTGTAGGTCCTCTGCAAGAGCAGTACTTATTCTTTTCCACTGAGCCATCTCTCCAGCCCCACAGAAAGATTTTTTTTTTCTTTTTTAGGAAAAAGTGATCATGTGTGACTTCTGTGCTTAAAATTCTTCACTAGCTCTCATGAAATGACAATTGTAGCGCTTAGCCATACATTTTTTTAAAACCAGAGTTGCAGTTTATTAAGATATTTTAATGTAGATTTTCAGCACTATGGTTAAGGAGAAAGAAAGGTCCAGAAGAAAATCAGATGCAAGGTAGATGAGGGCTTCTGAGTAAATTTTAAATAAACTGGATTTAAAAGTAATTAATGTCAGAAGTCTAAAACTTTCCACGACTAAATGTCCTTTTATTTTCTGTTAGTTGTTTTTGCTTTCTTCCTTTGTTTTCACTCTCTCAAAGCTATGAAAACCATCCAATTAATGCTTCTGTGTCAGAGTGAAGAAAAGCACAACACTGGATCAATGTTTCCAGTCACATGTATAGATAGTTGTCTGCTTTAGCAGTGTTTGGTTAGACTTTAGACTTTGACATTGAAATAAAAGTTGAGTATATTTTATTCTAAATATTTTTGACCACAAGAGTTTCCAAATTTAGATTTGGGGACGTATGTATATACCTGGGGGAGATAAGTCTAAACACAAAATCCATTTTTTGTGTGCGCCCTATCCATAATGGAGGGAAACTATGTGTGTTAGTCTCAGTTTGTCAGGTCCCTGCCATGAGCTCAGGTGAGCAATAGGTCCAGGCTTAGAACATTCAGATCTTGGAGCATCTTAGACCTTCTACTTAGACATGCCCATTCTATACTTTTTTTCTTCCCAGAGCTAGGACTCAAACCAGTGCCTTTGCAAATGTCAGGCAAGTACTGTACTGCTGAGCTACATCTTCAGCCTGGACTTTTAAGACAGCATAGTTATTTCCAGATGGCATCATGGCATGAGACAGAAGCGGGAGTGGGGCTTTCACTGTATACATGTTTTTCCTTAGCTATTTTCAGTCATGTGATTCTGTTACCTAGTTTTTAAACATTTTTTTTTAAGTGAGTCATAATATTTATTTTGGGCATGGGGGCTTGATTGTTTTGAGACAAGGTCTCCCTGTAGCCCCAGCTGGCCTGGAACTCGCTATGTAGACCAGGGTGGCCTCAAACTCCCAGAGATTCTCCTGCCTCTGCCTTCCAAGTGCTAGGACTAAAGGCATGAGCCACCATGCCTGGCTCATTTTTAAACCTTTTTAAAAATTTTTATTTATTATTTTTATTTTTTGTGTATGAGTGTATTGCCTGCAAGTATATAAGTGCTCCCATTGTGCAGTGCCTACAAAGGTCAGAGGAGAGCATCGGATTTCCCTGGAACTGGAGTTACAGATGATTGTTATCTGCCATGTGGGTGCTGGGATTCAAACCCAGGTCCTCTGCAAGAGGAGCCATTCCTCCAGTCTGTAGTTTTTAAACCTTTTAAAAAGAAAAATAAGCTGGGCATGGTGGTGCACACCTTTAATCCCAGCACTTGGGAGGCAGGGGCAGGCGGATCTTTGTGAGTTCGAGGCCAGCCTGGCCTACATAGTGAGTTCTAGGACAGCTGGAGCTACAAGGAGACCCTGTCTCAAAAAGACCAAAAAAAACAAACAAACAACAAAATACCCAAAAAGAAAAAGAAAAGCCATCATATATAGCAAAGGTCTGGAGCTACAGATTTAAAATCATTGCATTCATCCTTTTCTGTTTCTGGTGCTGGAATGTTAACTGGGTACTTCCAATGTGGGTTTCGGTGAAATAATGGTGCAGACTAAAATGAAAAGTTAACTGTGTACTTATTTTTATTGCAGCTTATGTTCAAATTTTACCTATGTTTTGTTTTTTTAATATAAGAGAAGTAGAAACTGACTTTAAAAGATTAGATCTTGGGGCTGGAGAGATGGCTCAGTGCTTAAGAACACTGGTTCTTGCAAAAGACCCGGGTTCGAATCCCAGCACCCACATGGCAGCTAACAACTGTAACTCCAGTTTCAGGGGATCTGATGGCCTCTTCTGTCTTCCGTGGGCATTGCACGACACAGGTGCACTTACCTACATGCAGGCAATACACTCATACACATAAAAAAAATAAAAATTAAAAATAAATAAAAAGATTAGATTTGCTAATGTATGGTTCAGGGCTGTGATTCCAGCACTAAGGAGGCAGAGGCAGGAGCATCAGTGCAAGTTCATAATGCCAGACTGGGCTACAGAGTGAGACCCTGTTTGAAAAAAAGAGCCAGGCAAGGTGGTGCAAGCCTTTAATCTCAGCACTCAGGAGGCAGAGGCAGGCAGATCTCTGCAAGGTCAAGGCCAGCTTGGTCTACAAAGCAAGTGCCAGCCAGCTGGGGCTACAGGGAGACACTGTCTCAAAAAGACTGAAAAAAAAAAGAACACATAGATTAGATGCCTTCAAATGCCACTCATTGTTTGTTTTTAAATGTAGGTGCTGTCCTGTGACAAATCTGTATACCATTAAGAAGCAACCTTTGCACCAATTTGTACGAAGACCACTTTTCCCACAGCATTCAGCTTTGTGTAACACAGGTAAAATTTCACCTCTTTTAGAGCAAATTATGTTTCAGAAAGAATTTTTAATTTTCTTTTAAAATTTTTTAAAATTTTTCTTTTATTATTTTTATTTTATGTATATGAGTGTTTTGCCTACATGTATATAAGCACACCTGTGTTGTGTAATGCCCTCGGAGGTCAAAAGGAGGTATCAAATTCCCCTGGAACTGGAGTTAAAGATGCCTGTTAGCCACCATGTGTGTGCTGGGATGGATTCAAACCCGGCTCCTCTACAAGAGCAGCCAGTGTTCTTGCCCACTGAGCCTTCTCTCCAGCCCCTCTTTTTAAAAATTTTTATAGCTGGGCATGGTGGTGCACGCCTGTGGTCCCAGCACTTGGGAGGCAGATGCAGGTGGATCTCTGTGAGTTCAAGGCTGGCCTGGTCTACATAGTGAGTTCCAGCACAGCTGGGGCTACAGGGAGACCCTGCTTCAAAAAGACAAAAAAAAAAAAATTTTTTTTATACATTTATTTGTGTTGTGTGCATGCATGCATGCATGTGCGTGCCATGTTATACATATGGAAGTCAGGACAACTTGCTTGGATCAGTTCTTTGCTTCCACCATGTGGGTCCTAGACATCAAACTCAAGTCTTCAGTCTTAGTGGTAAGTGACTTGACTTGCTAAGCCATCTTGCCAACCCCCAAATTTGTCAATTTTCTAGTCAAAAGTTTATAAAATGGATACAGTGGATTTCTGTTTTTGTTTTTCACTGTCATAACATCATGCTTTAACTAGAGAACATTATCAGTAGACCTGTGAAATCCTAAAGTCTCGTGAACACATTTCTTTTTCTGTTTTTGGTCTTTTTGAGACAGGGTCTCCCCATAGCCCAGCTGACCTAGAACTTGCTATGTAGACTAGGCTGGCCTCAAACTCATAGACATCTACCTGCCACTGCCTCCCAAGTGCTAGGATTAAAGGTGTGTACCACCATGCCTGGCTTATAATTTCCTTTTACAGTATTTTTGCTTTAGAAATCATTTACTGAGAAATCCATGTTTCAAGAAATGTGTTTAAGATGGGCAGATGGATCTCAATGACTTTGTGGCAAGCCTGGTCTATGTAGTGAGTTCCAGTCCAGCTGGGGCTACAGGGAGAGACCCTGTCTCAAAAAAAAGAAAAAAAAAAAAAAGTTATGAGTGAATTTGTGTTTCAAAAGAATTTTGTCTATTTTAGGCTGTTGTCTTCTCTATTTTCATAGGAATGCCTGCCTGTGCAACAGTAAATTTCTGACTTTCTCTAAACTTTCTAGCATCTGACTTTGATTGTAATTTGAAATGTGAGCACCGCAGTGTAGTTTGGGAAGGTTGGAGAGTGGTAAGCGCATGCGCGCGCATGTGTTTGTGTGTGTGTGTGTGTCTGTGTGTGTGTCTGTGTCTGTGTGTGTCTGTGTGTGTGTGTCTGTGTCTCTGTATACACCATAATATGGTCCTCCTGGATTTAACTCTTTCCATATTGCCTGTGTACCCTCCTTCAGCCACATTCTAGTGTATGACTGACTGTGGCTCAGGGCACAACTAGACCTCTTCTGTAGACTGGGAAATCCTGAGATCTGCATGTGTCCTTGAATCACAAAATGACTTTGCTGTAAATACTGAGAAACTGAGCAGTCAGATCACTTTAATTGGACTTAAATTTTGTGGGCTTGCAGTTTGCGACTTCTAGACTTTTTGAGCTGGAAACCCCCTGATTTCAGTCACTGACAGTGACTTTCCGTACCCACCTGTGTTGTGAGGGAGCTGGTGCTTGCTTACTTCGTACCGTATAGTGTCACTTCTAAAAGGGAAAAAGCAATTCATATCAATCTCTATTCTGTTACAACTCAGAACACTTTCAGAGGTGATGTCTGAATGTTAGAACTAGGAGCCATTTTTTAAAATACCTAGTTAAACCAAAATTAGGATATAATTAGAGTGATTTTGATGACTATCTTTTCAAATTTGTCTTTGAAATAACATGTCAAAAGAGAAAAGTTATGTGGTGGAATCATATTTTCTTAATTTTTACTCAGCAACATATATAGATTATATGGAGTGTTTTGTTTTGTTGATAGGAACTTGCTTAGTTTCCAAGGCTGGCCTGGAATTTGCTATGTTGCTGAGGCTGGCACGAACTCATGATGCCTTCTTCCTCAGCTTCCTGAGTGCTGGGATTACAGACACTAGACCAGCACATCAGCTTTTTCAGGGCTTTAAAATAAAATTTTTTACATTTATGTTTCACCATTGAGTATTTCTAAAACCTTTCTTTCTGCAGGTGTGGTTTTTCTCAAGTGGTTTGAGTACAATAAAGTCATATTTCAAGATTTGGGTAGAGTGCCTGAAATGACTGGTTGAGAACAGAAAGAAGTGGCTTTCTTTAAAGTTTTCTTTGAAAAACTGTTCCCTTGTAAAACAGACTTTTCAGAGGAATGTCTTGATTGGAGGTATAAATAACTTAATGAAGTACTTGAGCACTGAAGCTCAATCATTTAAAATTTTTATCTTTTTAGGATTTACCTGGTCACCAGTCCTGAATTTGAACCCTATCACAGCTGACTTGGGGACCTTGAGCTTGTTTCTTCATTTATAAAATAGAGTTGGGGACATAGCTTGTTGTTTGTATAGCCCTAGCTTAGCATGTACAAAGCCTTCTGTTTAATTCCCACTGTGGGGTAGGGGTGGGGATAGCATAAACACAGTACTTGTGTGGGATGATGTATGGATTAAATGGTACTTATCTATAAGGTACCATTATATATATAAGGTACTTAGCACTGAGAACATATTGAGTACATATCATATGTACTCAATAAATTTTAGTAACTGTTACCTACTATTTATACTGCTTTAAGATGCAGATTTTCTTTCTTTTTTTTTTTTTTTTTGGTATTTTTGAGACAGGGTCTCCCTGTAGCCCCAGCTGTCCTGGATTCACTATGGAGACCAGGCTGGCCTCAAACTCACAGAGATCCACCTGCCTCTGCCTTCTGAGAGCTGAGATTAAAGGCGTATACCACCACGCCCAGCCAAGATGCAGGTTTTTAAAAATTGTTTTCTTTTTGTTATTTTGTGGATGCGTTTGCATACATGCATGTGTATGGTGGGCATACATGCATAGTGTAAATGTGGAGATTAGAGGACAGTTTGTGGAAGTCAGCTATCTCCTTCCACCATGTTGGCCCAGGGATCAAAATCAGGTTGTCAGATTTGATGACAAGTTGTCTTTATTTGCTGAGCCATCTTGCGAGCCAAAAGAATTAGTGTGAGGGTGGGTGGGGAGTGATCAGAGGACAACCTCTGATGTCAGCAGTCAGGTGGCTTCTTTGGTATAGTGTCTCTCATTGCTCTGAAACTTCACATGTAGGCAAGGCTAGCTATCTCCTTCCTACCCCCAAGCTTCCAGGGATTCACCTATCTCTGTCTCCTATCTTTTAAAAAAATGTATTTATTTTTAATTTATATATATGTGCCTGCTTGAGTTAATGTGCACCACATGTGTGCAGGTGCCCAGAGAAGCCAGAGGGCATTGAATCCTCTAGAACTAGAATTAGAGGTGGTTATAAGCTGCTGGGAACCCAGCCCAGGTCCTCAGCAAGAGCAGTACCTGCTCTTAAACACTAAACTGTCTTTGCAGCCCCTCTGCCTATTTTACCATCTCTGGGATTTCAAGCATGTGCCACTGTGTCCATCTTTTTATGTGGGTTCTGGGGATCAGAACTGGGGATGAGAATTCAGATCCTTGTGTTTGCAAGGCAAGCACTTTACTGAGTAAGCCATCTCCCCAGCTCAGAGAATTTTTTTTTTTTAAATTTGGGTTTATTTTGAAACAATCTGTTCGATAGTCTAAAACTATTAAAACCCAAAGCTATTCTTTTGTCCTGTAAGTTGTTATAATAGCAAGCTATGAAATTAAAGATACTGTTTTCTAGCTGTATGGGGGGCAGGGGTATAGAGGGGCAGATTATTTCATGACACATTTTCTTCATCTGTAAAGTCTCAGTAATAGTGCTTTCTTTCTCCCCTCTTTCCCTTCTTCCCCCTCCCTCCACTTTGTTTTTTGAGATGGCCTCACTTTGGGTCCCAGGCTGGCCTTGATATCAAGGTTTTCTTGCCTTAGCATCCTAAATTATAGGAATTGTCACCATGCTCAGCTCAATAGTACTTTCCTTTTTATTTTACCTAATTACTTAATTTTATTTTGTTTTTTGAGTCAAGTCATCCAGTCTTGCCTCAAGTATGCCATGATGAGTTTGAGGGGGTAGTGATGAATGCAATCAAAATACATGAAATTCTCAAAGAACAAATAAACATTTCTATTAAAAAACTTCCCAGGATAACTCTGAATTTCTGATCCTTTTGTCTGTACTTCAGAAGTGCTGGGATTACAGGTGTGTGTGCTACCATGCCTGGTTTTGGTGCTGGGGATCTAACCCAAGGCCTCCTGCCTTGGATAGAGGGCAGGCACTCTTCTACCCACCCTTGAGTTTGCAGGTATGAGCTACCATGCCAGAGTTGTTTGTTGAGGCTGGATCTTACATAGCTGTAGATGATCTTGAACTTCTGATCCTCCTGTCTCTAATTGCAAGTACTGGGATTATAGGTATGCATCACTGTGACCAGCTTATTTTCTTTTTAATTAAAATTTTTTTTTTTTTTTGTCTTTTTGAGACAGGGTCTCCTTGTAGCTCCAGCTGCCTGGAACTCACTCTGTAGACCAGGCTGGCCTCAAACTCACAGAGGATCCGCCTGTCTCTGCCTCCCCAGTGCTAGGATTAAAGGCGTGCAGTACCACGCTCGGCTTTAATTAATTAAATTAGCATGCAAAATTCTGAGTTTCGTTATTGTATTTTCTTTTTTTTTTGCGTTTTCATATATATATATGTTACTGTGCTTTGCTCATATTCACCCTCAATAGTACCTTCTTTATAAGATTGTTAATGGCATAAATACATTTTAAGCACTTAACTTTGTCTTAATTTCTTTTTGTAAAAA